AGATAGTAAAAGCACAACTTCAGGCAATACCAATGAGATGGAAACATGGAAGGTGCCTAAAGAAGCCAGGGTGGCTATCTAAAGAACTTTTAACCGAGTTAAGATTAAAAAAGGATGTGTACAAAAAATGGAAAAGGGGGGAAACCACCAAAGAGGAATTCAAACAAATAGCCAGCACATGTAGACACAAAGTCAGAAAAGCTAAAGCACAAAATGAACTCAGGCTTGCTAGAGAGGTTAAAAGCAACAAAAAAAAGGCTTTTATGGGTATGTCCGTAGCAAAAGGAAGAACAAAGAAACAGTGGGGTCACTCAGAGGAGAAGATGGTGAAATGCAAACAGGGGACACAGAAAGGGCTGAACTCCTCAATGCCTTCTTTGCCTCAGTCTTCTTCGATAAAGAAAACAATGCCTGACCCGAAGAATTTGGAGCAAATGATTCAGCAGAGGAAACACAGCCCAGAATAACTAAGGAGATAGTACAAGAATACTTGGCTAGTTTAGATGTATTCAAGTCTCCAGGGCCAGATGAACTGCATCCAAGAGTATTAAAAGAACTGGCAGATGTGATCTCAGAACCACTGGCAGTCATCTTTGAGAATTCCTGGAGAACAGGCAGAAGTCCCAGCAGACTGGAGGAGGGCAAATGTTGTCCCTATTTTCAAAAAGGGGAAAAGAGAGGACCCAAATAATTATCGCCCAGTCAGTCTGACATCAATACCAGGGAAGATTCTGGAGCAGATCATTAAGCAAACAGTCTGTGAGCACCTAGAAAGGAATGCTGTGATCACCAATAGTCAGCATGGATTTCTGAAAAATAAGTCATGTCAGACTAACCTGATCTCGTTTTTTGACAGAATTACAAGCCTGGTAGATGAAGGGAACGCAGTGGATGTAGCCTACCTTGATTTCAGCAAGGCATTCGACAAGGTGCCCCATGATATCCTTGTAAAGAAGCTGGTAAAATGTGGTCTTGACTATGCTACCACTCAGTGGATTTGTAACTGGCTGACTGACCGAACCCAAAGGGTGCTCATCAATGGTTCCTCTTCATCCTGGAGAAGAGTGACTAGTGGGGTGCCACAGGGTTCTGTCTTGGGCCCGGTCTTATTCAACATCTTTATCAACGACTTGGAGGATGGACTCAAGGGCATCCTGATCAAATTTGCAGATGACACCAAACTGGGAGGGGTGGCTAACACCCCAGAGGACAGGATCACACTTCAAAATGACCTTGACAGATTAGAGAACTGGGCCAAAACAAACAAGATGAACTTTAACAGGGAGAAATGTAAAGTATTGCACTTGGGCAAAAAATAATAATGAGAGGCACAAATACAAGATGGGTGACACCTGGCTTGAGAGCAGTACATGTGAAAAGGATCTAGGACTCTTGGTTGACCACAAACTTGACATGAGCCAACAGTGTGACGCGGCAGCTAAAAAAGCCAATGCAATTATGGGTTGCATCAATAGGAGTATAGCATCTAGATCAAGGGAAGTAATAGTGCCACTGTATTCTGTTCTGGTCAGACCTCACCTGGAGTACTGTGTCCAGTTCTGGGCACCACAGTTCAAGAAGGACACTGACAAACTGGAACGTGTCCAGAGGAGGGCAACCAAAATGGTCAAAGGCCTGGAAACGATGCCTTATGAGGAACGGCTAAGGGAGCTGGGCATGTTTAGCCTGGAGAAGAGGAGGTTAAGGGGTGATATGATAGCCATGTTCAAATATATAAAAGGATGTCATATAGAGAAGGGAGAAAGGTTGTTTTCTGCTGCTCCAGAGAAGCGGACACGAAGCAATGGATCCAAACTACAAGAAAGAAGATTCCACCTAAACATTAGGAAGAACTTCCTGACAGTAAGAGCTGTTCGACAGTGGAATTTGCTGGCAAGGAGTGTGGTGGAGTCTCCTTCTTTGGAGGTCTTTAAGCAGAGGCTTGACAACCATATGTCAGGAGTGCTCTGATGGTGTTTCCTGCTTGGCAGGGGGTTGGACTCGATGGCCCTTGTGGTCTATTCCAACTCTATGATTCTATGATTCTATGATTCCTATTCACCAACACCCAGTGAGGAGTTGAACCAGTTCCTGGACTGAACCACTGCAGGCTTCACAGGTGGGTTGGGTTTATCCCTGCCAAGAAGAAAAAGCAAACTCCCTGCACTTAGAAAACCAGCATGGAAGTGTGAAGCTGGGCTAGCACCATTCTCCCTGAGCTGCTGATTTTCTGTGTGCAGGGATTTATTCTTTCCTGTGAGCTCCCTATCTTCCACCTGGAATGGTGCCATGCAGAAATAGGCTTCCCTCCTCGTCTGCTGTTTGGGGGAATTGAGCACAGGATCCCTTCTGCAATCAGGTCCTATTTCACTGCTTGAACAGACTCAGTTGGGGAATTTATGCATGCTGAGGAATGGGGTGGAAGCAGGCAAATCCCACCTTGGATGTGTGGCAGAGGGCCATGGGTACTAATTTAGTGCCAGCTGAGAAGCACTCTGCACATGGTTAGAGGCCCCTTCTGCTTCTTCATTTCTCAATTTGTTTGCAATACAAACACTCACTGGGACTGATCTCTGCTTCAGGTTCAAACCCCGCTTCCTGTCCCACAGCAAGGCAAGGATAGGGAAAGCACCAAACCTGCACAGGAAATTGTGACTCTGAATGCCATTATTTTATTATCATCCTAAGGACACATTGGGGGCAGGAAGCGCAGCTGGTTGGTGAGGCAGCAGAAAGGAGCTGAGAGGGCTTGTCGGCTGAATGGGGTTAGTCATTGGCCTGGTGCATCCGCTGTTGTCTGAGCAGCTGTAAAGCTCACACTGTCCTGTGAAAAGAGGCAGCAGCTGCACACCGGGAAAGGAGCACAGCAGCAGGAGCAAAGCCTGGGCTTGTCAGCACTGCAGAGACAAGCAGAGCTGGATGTTGGCAATGCAGGTGAGGAGGAGGCCAGCCTGGCCACTTCCTGTTTCATGTGCTTTCAAAGGATAAGCCAGTTCAATGTTGGTAAGGCAGCACAAGCTTTTCAAGAGCTCAGCTGTTAGATCTGCATTACCCTCACCTTAGAGGTCACATCCCACACTTCTCTACTAGCTAACTAGCAACTAGCCAGCTAGCCAATCATTCCCCCTTAAAAGCAGCTTTTAATTTTTCTTTTTAAAGAAATCATGTGGCAGTTCAGCCAGTAAGTCCACAAAAGCCTAGCTCTGCAAGCAAAACGGAACACAAATTACAGAGGATATAAATATTCTAAAATCTGACTCTTTGAGTTTTACCAACTTGGGATTTGCGTGTGTGATACCTTCCAGGTGTATAATAGAACATGCACGGCTCTCTCAAGTGCAAAAGAAGACACATTTAAGACATTTAAGAAAGCAAGTCTGTGCTCAGAGCTGCTTTGAGCTGGAGCTCTTGCGCTACCATCACCTTTTCGATTTCCTTCTTCTCATAAGAGGAAAGAGATCGCAACTGTTTTTCTCTCAGGGCAGCTTTCTCTAAGGGCTGCTTGCCATCACATTCCCTGCAGAACATAGGAAGCTCATTAAAAGCAGTTTTCTTCAGGAAAGGATTGGTCCAGATGCAGGACCTTTCCTGATTCCTGGGAAAGGAAAAACCCCTGCTTGTTGGGCCCCTTTGCCTCCCAGAATGGCTGGCTGGTTGCCAGGAATCTCCTGACACGAGAGGGGTGACTAAGTTAGTTTTCCCCATCCTATCCTCCCTATCGGACCCTTGATCTGATCCAGCAGGGGTGCTTCTTAGGTTCTTGGATTTCATCGAATCAAAGAATTGCAGAGTTGGAAGGGATCCTCAAGGGTAATCTAGTTGTCTTCTTCTTTGGCGATCCCTCATAGCCAAGTAAGATTGTCTACCATCAATATGGTCTTAACAAGGAGGCTATAACTGACTGTGGAGGCCAATTCTGGATCCACACGTCCCTCCACAGTGGGGACATGGGTTTCCGGGTGGGAGTTGATCCCAGTGAGAGTTTGCCAGGCCTGCCTTCCTCTTAGCTCGTTTCTCCCTTTCGTCCCGAGTTCAAGCATCTTCAAAGTCCATGACACCTTTGGTAAAGGCTGTTCTCCAATTGGAGCGCTTGCAGGCTGGTACAACCCCCTCCAATGCAGAAATCTTAGCTAAAGAATGACAGAGATGTTCCTGGAAGGAGCAGCTGCCACCCCAAGACAGATTTAAAATCTCTCCCTTTCCCACCTGTCCTGCCATCTGCTCTCAGCACCATTATTTTAAAATCCTGGGGAGTTGTGCACAGGCATCTGCTGTGTGCAAGTAAAACGTTTCTTTCGTAATGTGAGGCAGGAGGAAGGGGAGGATGGCTGATGGGATGGTGGAGGGGGAAGCTTCATCCTCTCCTCACCTTCTCTGACAGCTGCTCTTGCAAGGTACCCACTCATTTTGTGCCCCACTTTTCATGTTGCTCCAGCTGGAATCGGGGTGGGGGGGTAAATAAGCGGAGCTTTATGGGTGGGGCAGCAGCCCCAGGGGAGAATCCATAGCCCAGGGGTTGGGAGGAGCACCTTCTGTAACCCACTGATCTTCACTTGCCCGGTGATCCCTTGTACCCTTCCATCACATTCCTGTTGCCATTACAGGAACAAAGCACTCAGTGTGGCCTGTGTGCTTCATTCCTTTAAGAGCAATTTTTAAAACTGCTGTAAATGGATTTCATTTTGATGCAGGTGCTTTTAATCCAACTGCTCTCTGCTCTCCAGGGCTTAATTTTCAGCCTTCTGCTCTACTTGCATCTGAGTTCAGCTTCTAGGCATAGTCACAAAAATCCTTCTACTTCTTGCGTGTGTGTTTTGGAGCGGCTTTCAGGAGCTCTTTGAACTTGGTCCCTGCAGCCTCAAAGCTTCAAATTCTGGAATGATCTCTGTCCTGGGAGCGATCCAGTCTGCTAGCAAGGGGACTGGAACCTAATACTTAAATTTTACCTTCACAAACTAAAAAACTCACCTTTCTTTTGTTTTGTCTCTACTGTTTTGCAGGTGAAACAGATAATGGAGGAATCCGTCACCAGGAAGTTTGTACATGAAGACAGCAGCCACATCATTTCCTTTTGTGGTAAGTCTGCCAGCCGGACGTCTCCCGTCTGGTGTGCAGTTTCCCCTTTGTGCTCCATCGGTCATGCCTGGCCACCAATATCTGAGCTGTGAGCCTCAGTAGCTTCTTAAAGGCAGTTGCACACTGCCCTTTCAGATGACATCTAGTCAGGGATGAGGTGGGGCTTAAGAATAAACATGGAAAATTGATCCGAACTGGAAATAGACTGTTCCATCTATCTGTTTTGCCTTACCAACTGTGGATTTTTTCCTGATCCCATACCAAGAGGAGGCATACTTGGAGGCTGCAGCAGCCCCAAGGTGGAGAGGGATCTGGCCCTGGTTCATCCTGTATGGGTCCATGGAGCTCACTTCCCTTCCCTGAGCCCCAAAATGTCAGTTCCACTGCTAGGCCCTCTTATTGGACTCATTGGAGAATCAGGAGATCCCAGAGGAGAGATCCCAAGAGCTGGAAACCCCATTACCTTGAGGAAGGTACTTAGCTGCAGAAGGCGGCACCAGTCCTTTAGGTAGGAAGCAGTTGGGTGTGTGTGTGTCAAGCATCTACTCAGTGGCCACACAACCCTGCTATAAAACTCGGTGGTTGCTGAGACATCATTAGTGGTTGGGCTCAGCTGCAGAAACACTGGTCGTGGATCTGAACCCAGCCTTTACCTCTCTCCAAGGTGCTGACTCTTGCTTTGCGCACACCAGCTTGGCTGTCTTGCTAGCCTGGGGGAAACAAGCTACTGACCTTCCCTTGCTCAGGCCATCATCCATCTTCAAGGGTGGCTCTCTCCATGGACCACATTTATGGAGGAGAGGGCTATCAATGGCAATTAGACATTGCCGCCATGCTCTGTTGCTGGAAACCACAGGAGGAGAGAGGGCTCTTGGGCTTGAATTGAGCTTGTGAGTTTCCCACAGGCACCTGGTTGGCCACTTTGAGAACAGAATACAGTGGTACCTCGGGTTACAGATGCTTCAGGTTACGGAGGCTTCAGGTTACAGACTCTGCTAACCCAGAAATAATACCTCGGGTTAAGAACTTTGCTTCAGGGTGAGAACAGAAATCGTGCAGTGGCAGCACAGTGGCAGCAGGAGGCCCCATTAGCTAAAGTGGTACCTCAGGTTAAGAACAGTTTCAGGTTAAGAATGGACCTCCAGAATGAATTAAGTTCTTAACCCGAGTGGACTAGATGGGCCATTGGCCTGATCCAGCACAATCTTTTTATGATCTTAGGTTCTTATCAAAACAGCTTCAATACGTCTTACAATACGAAGTTTTCAAAAGTGTCCCTAAATTTGTATGCTTCCATGGAACTGCCCCCCTCTCTACTTGCCACCTAACTTCTGATATTGGGGGGATGTAGTGAAGAGCCTTTGAATCATTCTCAACTGGTGGGCAGGATCGTGTCAGAGAAGCTGGTCTGTCATGGAAGATGAGGCTGTCAATGGCTGCTAGTCACAATGGCCATGCTCTGCATCCAAGCCATGCTTCTGAATGTCAGTTGCTGGAAGCCACAGGAGGGGAGGGTATTGCTTTTGTGCCCAAAAATTGCTTGTGGCTTTCCACTGGAGCATCTGGTTGGCCACTGTGGGGACAGGAGACTGGACTAGATGGGCCGTTAGCCTTATCCAGCAGGCCCTTCTTATGTCCTTTGGCTAAGCCATCCATTTACAAGTGATGCCTGTTGACCATTACCTCAACCTGACTCTTTGGTTAAGGTAGGCCAGCTGTGTGAGTGGGGAGAGAATTAAGATAGGGTGATCCAGACACCACCTCCTCTTACTTGGAGCAACTGCAGCCTGAATCACCAAATGAACAGAGCAAATCTGGAGCTGGCTGGCTCCCTATGGGCTTCACATTGTTTATAGCGCTGTTCCTCACCACCCACAAGGCAGGACAGGCAGGAGTGCTTGGCAATTCTCATCCCAGCCTCTTAAGTCTGCTGTTGCATTTCTCCTTGGCCTCAGGGCAGCTCTGGAGCACCATCTGGGGATGATGGGAATTTAATTTGAGTTGCCTGCCAGCCTCCCTCAGCCTCCATGGGGAGGATCAGGCTCTTAAATAACCCTTATTAGCATGATAAGTGGCAGAGGAGGGGGAAGGGAGAATGGCGCCAGGATAGGGCAGCTTTCAGTTCCATCCCTCTGCCTTGTTCTCCTCCAGGCCTTTAAGAAGTCATGGCTGCAACCTTTCTGCTTTGTTCTTCCTTTAATGCAGACACGTCCAACAGGTAGATTGTGAACGTCTGGTAGATCATTGGCTCCCCCCAAAGAAGCTCAACCCCCCAAAACAGGGCTTTCCTTCCTAAAAAAAGCTCAACAAGTTTGATCACTGTCAGTTTTTAACTGTGAGTAGATCGCAGTCTCTTGGGAGTTGGCCACCCCTGCTTTAATGGAAAGGCTGCAGCAGATTCCACTCAAAGGACTTGTCCAATGTGGGTGCCTGAAGTTTGGTGGGATTGACTGCATGGCAGTTCCCCTCAAAGGCACGCAGGTCCCCCTCAAAGGCACGCAGGTGGAAAGGGTGATGGTGGGGGGAGTCCTTTCATTCCTGGTGGATCTGTGTTGCCAGCTCTTGGTAAACAGCACTTGCTTTGGTGGTTCATTATTTAGTGACAATGTGTCATCTTGGCTTAATTGCAAAGCATCCCTTGCTGGCTTCTCCCTTGATGCAGCTTAGATGAGTCAGACCGCAGACCACAGAAAAGAAAGAGAGAGAGACATCTGTCCCTTTGGTTGGGCAAGGAAACCCTTGACCAGTTGCTGTATGGTTCAAGGTTGGAGGGATGGGTTTGCAGGCCAAAATGGCCTTCCTGCGTTCAGGCAAGCTTCCTCCTCCTCCTTCTTAATTTTAATTTTCAGTTTTCATCATTAGCATCATTCAAACTTAAATTCAACATTATTTATACAATTGGGGGATTCCCTGTACCCCAAGACTTCCCTCCTCCCCCTTCTGGTTTTCCACAAATACGTTTTTTAATTTTAACCGCATCTAATTCATATATCCAACTTTGATTACATCCTTATTTATTTCTTTACCTATTAAAAAATTACAAGCGCTATATTAATCCTGCTAACATCTTTAAATCTTTGCATTGTTCCTTAATATACTCTATACTCTATAAATACTCTATAAATTTATGCCATTCTTTTTTAAATTTACTATCATCTTGGTGTCTGATCTTCCCAGTCATTTTCACCATTTCTGCATAGTCCATCATTTTCGCTATCCACTCTTCCTTGGTTGGCATTTCCTCTTCCTTCCATCTCTGGGCAAAAAGTATTCTTGCAGCTGTTGTTGCATACATAAACCGTCTTTTTAAGTCCCTTGGTATAACTTTAAATCTGGCAAGGAGAATCTTTAGTAACTTATATTTAATCCTTGGCTTCCCCCCCTGCCAGTTAGATTTAGATATGTCCTTTTGCCATTGTTTGAAGTGTCCTGCTCCACTAACTATCGGTATGGATTGGAATAAAAATAACATTCTAGGCAATACATTCATTTTTATTACCAAGATCCTTCCCCATTAGCATAATTTTTTTCTTCCCCATACCTCCATATTCCTTTTTATTTCATTCCAAACTTGTCCCTGCCACAGACTGGTTTTCCAAGTTCCACCATTGGTGTCCTGGGTCTAAGGCGTCTTCTTCTGTGTCATCTCTGGGGGGTTCTGGGGCTAGTGCCTGCCACCACTCTTCATCGTCCAGCCAGGCCCCTGAAACAAACTTCGAACATGCCTGTACAGTGGTACCTCGGGTTACATACGCTTCAGGTTACAGACTCTGCTAACCCAGAAATATTACCTCGGGTTAAGAACTTTGCTTCAGGATGAGAGAACAGAAATCATGCTCTGGCGGTGCGGCGGCAGCGGGAGGCCCCATTAGCTAAAGTGGTGCTTCAGGTTAAGTACGGACCTGAAACTGTTCTTAATCTGAAGCACCACTTTAGCTAATGGGGCCTCCTGCTGCTGCCGTGCCGCTGGAGCACGATTTCTGTTCTCATCCTGAAGCAAAGTTCTTAACCCGAGGTACTATTTCTGGGTTAGCAGAGTCTGTAATCTGAAGCGTATGTAACCTGAAGCGTATGTTACCCGAGGTACCACTGTATTAGATATTTTGGGAAGGGGTTTGTCTGTCTGTTCCACCCACCTATCAAACTTGACCTGTGAGTGGTGGGTCAGGGAGCTCCACCCCAGACTTGTCACCAAAACAGCAGTGTCAGTGCCCCCCTTTTTAGATAACTGACAATGACTTTTCCTTGTTTGAAGAAGCACTCTCTTTGAGCACTAACCCCTTGAATATGTTCTCGTTCATTCCCAAATGACAGTAACACACCAGAAGCAAAGTAGCCTAAGAAAATGAACCAGTGTTCCCTGAGTTTGCAAGTTGCCCTCACAAATTTTACTGAGCTTCTGTCAGTTAATCAGCAAAAATTATTTGATTTGTCATTTTGAAGCCTTATGAAATGGGCTGTAACAGAGGAAGCATGTTTTTTCTTCAGAGGAGGGTAAGTGGGGATTGTGGGGGTTGGGCTGGATGGCCTTTGGGGTTCCCTTCCAAGTCTACAATTCTATGATTCTAGGTAGCTTCTGCCGTTTCTTCCCCCCGCTATGCTGTGGGCTGCCATGCTGTCTGCTGATAAGGGAGCTTGCTGGCAGCTGAATGGGTTGGAAACACTGCAGCTTGCCAAAGCTGAAAATAATTCAGACCCAAAATGCTAATTTACTCTGTCTGGCTCCCCCCTGCCCCCCCATTGGACTCCAGAGAGACGGAGCCGCACTGTCACCCGCAGCAGGGAAGGCAAATGAATTCACAACAGAATTGGAAAGACTTGGGGGCCTGCAAGGCAAGTGCTCTCCCTGGCTCACGCTGTGGACCTCTGCTACCCAAGGGCAAGAGCGCCAGTAGGGAAGATGCCTCTGTCCTGGTTCTGGGCAATGTCAGCCTTGGGTGATAATTGGAGACATCAGCATCTCCTTCACTCGTGGACATCCAAGGAAGCTGGGTGTTGGAAGATTCAGAACAGACAAATGGACAGACTTCTTCACCCTGTGCGTAGTTAAACTATGGAACTCACTCCCACAGGAGGCAGTGATGGCCACCGACTTAGATGTCTTTAAAGGAGGATGAGACAAATTCATGGAGGAGGAGAGGGCTATCGATGGCTACCAGCCACAATGGCCATGCTCTGACCGCCACAGTTGGAGGCAGCAATGCTTCTGAATCCCAGTTGCTGGAAGCCACAGGAGGGGAGGGTATTGCTTTTGTGTCCCAAAACTGCTTGTGGCTTCCTACTGGGGCATCTGCTTGGCCACTGTGAGAACTGGATGCTGGGCTGTAGGCCTGATAGAGCCGGCTCTTCCCAAGTTCTTATGTTCTGAGAAGGATCAAAGTGGAGTTGGAGTCCCCCCAGCAGCAGGTGGCAAATGGTCATTGGATACCTGGTTGAGGTCACAGGTTGCGGCAAGCTGGTGGGGTTCAAGCTTGCATTGGTATCCGGGGACTGACAATGTTGTGGCAAAGATGGGCTTGGACAGCTTAGGGAGGAGCTTTTCTGAACTTCCAATTGTTGTAGTGCAATCTCTAGAGCGTTGCCGTTTATTTTACTTTTTTACAGTGTTTGCTCTTTGCACTTCAGCCAAAACAGCTACCAGAGCAGCTTGCGTACAATTGCTCAGAAACATGGCAGTCCCAGCTGTCAGACTCACAGATTAAAGACAGGACACAAAAGAAGAAAGGGGCAGGGAGGGAAGAGGAGGGAAATCTCAACTCTGACACCAAACGCTAAAGTGGAATAGTGCTTTCTTATAAGGATAATCTGGAATGGAGGTCATTTCAGGGCATCAGGAGGTGTTTGTTGGAGCTGATCTCTCTGCAGAACTGATAAGAGTGTGAACAGGTGGTAAGATGACCATAAGATGGACCACTTCCGCCACAGCCGCCATGGTGAACAGCTGTTCCTGCAGTAATGGATGCCAGCCATGCAGTTAGTTAAGGATAATTTGGGAGTAATTATCCTTGCAAGCCCCGCCCCCCAGGTTGGGGGGAGAGCTTTCCCTCGTGGATCGTCCGATAACTGCTTCTCGCTCCGATGGAATGCAGGGGCAGGGACGCAGAGTGCATAGCACTGCACGTATTGGAAACTCCCCAAGGCAGTTGCCATGAACGGCGGTATCTCTGTTTTTTTGTAAAATGTATCTGATTTTGGACATAAGAAACATGTGTTTTGGAAGAAGGAGAAAGATAACCTGCTAAATGAATCAGCCACTGGGTGCCAAGGTTTTGATCTGGAGAGGACTTTCGTTATCGTAATTGGAATGCTACATAAGTGAGGAGGAGCCTTTGTTCTCTTTGTGTATTTGTTGTGCTATGATTTGGCAAGTCTTCACTGAAGAAGAATCAATTATTAATGGAATGAAAGTATTAATGAATTACAACTATATATGGAATGCCAGAGGGATTCAACAAGAACCTATAATTTTCTTCCTTGTTGTTGTTTAGTAGAGTAGTCGTGTCCGACTCTTCATGACCCCATGGACCAGAGCACACCAGGCACTCCTGTTTTCCACTGCCTCCCACAGTTTCGTCAAATTCATGTTGGTCGTTTCTATAACACTGTCCAACCATCTCTTCCTCCGTCGTCCCCTTCTCCTTCTGCCCTCAATCTTACCCAACATCAGAGCTTTTTCCAGAGAGTCTTCTCTTCTCATGAGGTGGCCAGAGCCTCAGCTTCACGATCTGTCCTTCCAGTGAGCACTCAGGGTTGATTTCCTTCAGAATGGATAGGTTTGAGCTTTTTGCAGTCCATGGGACTCTTTTCTTTATGGAGTACTTAAAAGAATAGACTGTGTGAAATACTGGGATGATTTGTGACATTGCCCGTTAAAGAGAGCTCTGATTCTGATTTATTATGGTTTTGGCAAGGCACCAGCTCGTTAGAAGGAACAGGGAGATAAACACTGGAAGTAGGCCAGAAGCCGTGGCCAGGCTCTGGAATGCTTTCGGATGGGACAAAATGGAGACGTGTCGCACGTAGAAATCAGTTCTTGAAGGAGGGGTAATGTTGAAGAAAACTGACTGATTACAACAGGAAGGGGGGGAAGAAGGTAAATAAATATTTTACATAGCTACAGGATATAAAACTCCCTCTGCAATTGAATGGATATGGATTTATTAAATACGTTCGAAAGTGGTCACATCAATGGCTGCAAAAACCCCCACAAAGGATTAAGATCGGAATTGTGGAACTTGGACTAATTAAGAGAATTGGCGCAGGATCAAGGAATAACATCAGTAACATCAACTCCTGATAGCCGGAACGTGGGAAGTCATCCAAAAATGTTGATTTCGGAACTGATTAATTGGTTCTTTTGATTGTATTGTGATTTGGCATGATTTGGTATTGTATTAATGTGGCCTCCATTGGATTGTTATTAATGAAAAATTAATAAAAATTATCATAATAAAAGAACATAAGAAGGACCTTGTGGATTTCGTCCCGCATCCTGTTCTCACAGTGGGCTGTGGTATGAGAGAAGGAGAAACAGTTTTCTCTGTCCACTTTCTGTTCATCATTTTATGAACTTCAATCTTGTCTCCTCTTACTCGCCTTTTCTCTCAACTAAAAAGTCCCAAACTCTGCAACCTTTATTTATAGAGGAGTCCCTCTTTTCCTTGGATCATTCTGGTTGCCTTTTTCTGAACCTTTTCCAACTCTACAATATCCTTTTTGAGGTGAGGCAACCAGAACTGGATACAGGATTCAAAGTGCAGTTGCACCATAGTTTTCAGCATTATGATGCCAGCAGTTTTATTTTCAATTCCTTTCCTAATGATCCCTAGCATGGAATTTACCTTTTTCACAGCCATTGCACTTTGGAGTGACATCTTCATTGAGACCCAAGGTCTCGCTCCTGGTCAGTCATTGCTAGTTCAGACCCCATGCACATGTACGGGCAATTAAGACATTTTGGTCCCACATGTATCACTTTACACATTTCACTGAATATCATTTGCCAATTTTACCACCCATTTTCTCACTTTGGAAACATTCTTTTGGAGCTCTTTGCAATCTCTTTTTTAACAACTTCCCATCATCAGCGAACTTGACTGCCTCACTGCTCCCTCCTAATGCACCAGCTGGCCCCTCTCTCTTGTCTCCTTCCAGCTGCCATCGAAGCCTGTGTCCTCCACGGCCTCAAGCGGCGGGCGGCGGGCTTCCTGCGCAGCAACAAGATTGCCGCCCTGTTCATGAAGGTGGGGAAGAGCTTTCCTCCTGCTGAGGAATTGTCCCGGAAGGTGCAGGACCTGGAGCAGCTCATTGAGAATGTGTAAGTCTATGCTCTGAGCCTGGGTGTGTGCATGGGGCTGAGACATGGCCAGACATCAGCTGGAATGGGGCTTCAAGCAGCAGAAGGAGAGCTTTGGCCCTTGCATCTAATCCCCAGCGTCAGGCCCCTGGAGAAGTCTGGAGGGCCAATCGACCTGGGTTGCTAGTGCAAGACTTATGTGATTTTATGGTGGTATTTTTATTTACTGTAAGAGGATTGTTTGATTTTATTCATTATTTCTTCATGGGTGTTCTCATTAATTGTTCATTGTTTAAATTTTGTTATATTTTGTAACTTGGTAAATTATGTAATTATTTTTTTATTTGTGAGCCACCTTGAACATAGTTTGTTCTGGAATGGCAGCATCCAAATAAACAATGACGATGCTGAGACTCCTGGACCAGTAATTTTTGTGACATGAAAAAGTAGCCTCTGATTTAGCCCCAAACTGGTCTGTGCAGATTAGGCCTTCTTTTGCTGCAATTTTCCTTCCACATTCTTAAAAACCTGGGTTATATCCTTTTGTAAGCAAATATGTCCAGTAAATAGATGAGTGCATCAACTTTGTGCATGTCTTTCTGGGAGATTTTGTCCGGCCACAGATGTGGGTGAATGTGGGACTTGTTCTCCCTTCTCCCCTAAGGCGAAACCAGAGCCCAGGTGTCCAGGAGAGCACACGCAAGGCTTCCAAGCTCCCCAGCCTCTCCCCGCAGGCCATCAAGCATCTCTGGATCCGGACGGCACTTTTTGAAAAGGTCCTGGACAAAATAGTGCTCCACTTGGTGGAAAACAGCAGGTAAAGAGAGACAATGAGCGGTGGCAGTTTCCTTTGCCTGCCTCCGCTCCTGCAGGAGACATCTGTAAGGTTCGTTTGCACAGTGAAACTTTGGTCTTTTCAGCATCTGGGTTCATTGGACTTCACATGGGAAGTAGGTGTTGTGATGAATTCCCCATGTGCCTGATCAATTTGTGGAGATCCAGAGGTTGTTTTAGGCCATTTGGAAAGCATGTCTGAAACTGACAAGAAGAGCCTGCAGCAAAATGTTGCAGTGCCCCCCCCCCCCGCAAAGCAGGAATGTTTTTTGAGGTTATGATATTATAAGTTGCTGGAGGTTTGAGTAGTTTTCCATTTTTACTTCCCAACTGATGCACAACATTTTGTTTCTGAGACATGTCCGGTTGAGCTGGGGAGAGATACTTTACCCCCTTAGGTTTTAAAATATAAAAATAAATAAAATAAGTCACCTTGGAATCTCTCTGGATTAGAAGGTGGAGTAGAAATCAAACAAACAAACAAACAAACAAACAAACAAATAAATAAAGGGCAAAACTTTAATAATATCTAGTGATATTCAAAACCACTATGAACATAGCTATAAACTATACAATGTACAGAAGCCAACACAATTCTATTAAGGATAAAAACATGTCTCTGTGTGGTTAACACCAGACTGCAAGTACTGCAGAACAGTTTGTTGCCCTTGGCAACAAAATTTAGGCATTTTGCCTAAATTTTAGGTGCTGCAATTGAGTATTGTATCATGTCTTCTGATGGGGGCTCAACATTCTCAGCTGCTGGTCAAAGCTTGCCAGCAAGGGACAGGGTCTAGTGGGGTGCTGGATTCTCCCTGGCTGGGGCCAGGTGGGTGGAGCTCTGTCTCTGGGTCTCCTTGGGCAAACACAGATCAGGAGGAGAATTGGGCAGCGCTAGATAATTTGTGATTTTGGAAGAGAGTGGAGTGGGCTTCTTGTAGTGGGAAAGCTTCTTATCTTTCCCCCCTTTTCCCTCTCTCTTTAACTTCTTAAAAGGTGCTGTCATTTAAAAAGAATATAAAAAGGAAGAAGGCATTGGGTAGTGGGGAAGGAGATAGAGAAAAGTAAGAAGCTCCCACTTCTGTCATGGTAGCCTCTAAAACTGCCCCCATCCCAAACTGTGTCAGGGCCTGTATGATCACTGAAAAAGTCTCCTCCAATTAGCGCCCTTCAAATAAGGTGGTGTATTTGGGGCAGCCATTTAGATCTACCTCTGCAAAGAAATCTATGCCTTCCTTTTGGGCATGGATGTGGTAGAGAAGGACATCACTGCCTTTAACCTGTGTGCTTAAAAAGCATTATAGCTACAGGGAAAGGCAGAAGGGAGCCTCACTGATGTTGCATCATGCTGAATTTTAGTCCCCTGCAGGCCAGACTGAAAGGAGGCTCTGGCAACAGCAGAATTTAAATCCTGTCATTTGTGTTAATTCAAGCCTGTTTCCTTCTCAGCTCCTTTTCCAACAGACTGATAAAATGGTATCCTAGCTTAAGACAAGCTCATAATTTTTCAGTGAGCAGATTAATGGTCATACAATAGCCTAGTTCAGTGCTGGAGAATTTTCACTTTTACTGGCATGCAGAGGCAACTGGAGGATTACCCAGCGGTATGTTAAATGCAGTGCTGTGCTAAAAAAAAGCCCTCACCCCATTATTTCCCCCCAACCATGCTCCATCAATTAATGAGAGAAATTACATTTGGAAGTTAACAAGGGGGAGAGGAAATTTTGGTGAGATTCTCATGGGTTTTCGGGGTGCTGACCTTATTGGTAAATTGGCCCGGGGGTGGCTGTGAGGGTCCTTACCCTTATCCTGCAGCTGGCAGCCTTACTGGGTGCCCCCAATGAAAGTGATGATGTCATTGGGTCCCTCCTCCCACAGGGCATTTTTGGACGGGGAGGTGTGGGCAGCCAGGGAAGCTGTAGAGCGCTGGAGGAATGTTTCCTGGAAGATGCACGCACCATACCCTTCCTGGGGTTATTAAAGCCTTTCTCTCTCTCTCCTTGTTTTCTGTCTGTACAGCAAATACTATGAGAAGGAAGCCCTGCTGATGGATCCAGTTGATGGGCCAATCCTTGCCTCTTTGCTGGGTAATGTGGCTTTGCTTGCTTCTGCGCTGACACCCTGATGTACTTTGGGGCTGACAAATGTGCTTTTCTGAAGTGCTGTTGAGTGGTAGAACCTGACTGTTTTGGAGCAATACTTTGTGTTCGAGATGCTGGGAGTGAATTTTCAAGTTATACAGATAAAGTCTTTTAGAGTAGGTACTTGCAGTTGGGCAGGACCAGCGGTGGAAGTGCGTGGGGCACAGAGCCAAGGGTGGAACTCCTGCCTGGCTACATTTCAGCAAAAGTCAGAGGTTTCCATGCAAGCAAACAGAATAATGATTGCAGTTCCAGGATACCTTCCAGTGGAGCAGGAACACCTGAGAAGGGGGTGGAGATGGGGTGGGGCATTCGTGGTCTGGAGTGGGAGCAGAGTCTCAGGTCCCCTGCCCTTGCTCTAGATCAGTTGGAGACTCAGGTTTGGGAAACCCTGCTCTAGGCAATAAGAGCCCCCACTCCTCAGTATATCTTATTGTATCAGCTAGGTTTCCCCCTTGGCTGTTTTCTGCTTCCTCCAATGAATGGAGAGAAGAGATGGGGATGCCTTCAGGGAAATGGGGGGCATACCTGCTCTCCAGTGCCCCCAACTGGAACCCTGGAGAAAGTGGGTAGAGAAAAGTTTTTCTTCCTCTCTCATAACACTAGAACACGTGGACATCCCTTGAAGATGAATGTGGGAAGATTGAGGAGAGATGCAAGAAAGTCCTTCTTCACGCAGCGCGTGGTTAAACTATAGAACTCCCTCCCACAGGAGGCAGTGATGGCCACCAACTGGGATGGGGCAGATTCATGGAGATAAGGGCTATCAGTGGCTCCTAGCCGCAATGGCTCTGCTCTGCCTTCACAGCTGGAGGCAGTAAATGCATCTGAATCCCAGTTGCTGGACGCTGCAGGAGGGAGATAGAACTTGTGCTCAGGCATTGCTTGTGGGTTTCACTTTGGGGCATCTGGCTGATGGCGAACAGAATGCTGAACTCAGTGGGCCATCGGCCTGATTCAGCAGGCTCTCCTTGTGTTCTCATCTTCTTCATTATGGTGTCTCAAGGTTTTGGGTTCTCGCATCAAGGGCATGCTGCACACACTGGTACTCCGACCTTCTGGGATTTTCCTGATTAATTCAGTGCTCTGGAATTTGGTCCAGTTGGGGGGGGGGTCTGTGTGTTTGGGGAGCAGTGGCAAATGGGGGACGGCTGCCTACCAGCTTGCTCGCCTTGTTTCCTCTGCCTGCTGTGCCTATTGCCTCCTTCCACAGTGGGACCTTGTGCACTGGAGTACACCAAGATGAAGACCGCCGACCATTTCTGGACCGACCCCTCGGCTGACGAGCTGGTCCAGCGCCACCGAATCCACAGCTCTCACTGCCGCCAAGACTCGCCCACCAAACGCCCAGCTCTCTGTGTAGGTTTCAGAAGCTGCAGGGAAGCAGCTGGGACTGTGGGGCATGTGTGCACATGCACATGTGAGGTTATTGATGTCTTTGTGTCATGCATGTTGTGGGGAAGGTTCATGACCAACACATTAAAATCATCATTAAAGACAGCACTCTAAAACATTCAAAAGATAAAATCAGCAACCAGCTAAAAACCGATTAAAACATCCATCAACATTCTACATGTCTGGCTGGCCTTGTCTAAACAAAAACATTTTTAGCATGCGCTGAAAAGAGTATGGTGGAGGTGCCTGCCTGATGTCAATAGGCAGGGACTTCCAAAGTGTTCGGGTGCTGCCGTACTAAAATATTGATTCTTACAAAAGCAGAACAAGTATTACGTGGTGCCAGTTGCAGTGCCAGTTCTGCAGATCAAAGTGGTTAAGTGGGTGGATATGGCAGGTAAGGCAACCTAACAGGTAAGCTGGTTCCAAGTTGATTTCCTGGCTGGATTCTCCTAGATTCAGAAGAGGCATTCCAGTGGAAGCATGGACGACCGGCTGTCTCTCTCAGCCAGAGACTACGTTGAGTCGCTGCACCAGAACTCCAGAGCCACACTCTTATACGGCAAAAATAATGTCTTGGTGCAGCCGGTGAGTAGAGCAAAGACAGTAGCCTCTCTGGGTCAGAAAGGGGTTGCTTTGAAACCAAATCTAGTAGCCACTAGCAAAGGTGGGAAGCACGATAAATCTTTTACCATGGTCAAATGATCACTGCTGAAACACTGAGCATATATACAGTTATGCTAGCTGTGAGGAGAACTCAGGAAATTTGCAGAATGCTAGCAATTTCTCTCCCCACCCCCAACCATGGAGTGAGTAGAAATCTCTCTTTGTAACCCTCTGGGCTGTGTAATGTCATGGCCCCCCAGTCATAAGAGCTGGAAACTGGCCTCTTAATTTTTTAACAGAGATTTTCAAGATGCAGAACAGACCCCCAGAGGGTGTTTGACCCTTGGCTATAACAGTATAACAATAGCTAGGCTGTCACAGGTTCCCCTGTACACATCTAGCAGATCCTGGAATGGGCATGTCTAGTAGGATTGTGCTGTAAGCCATTCAGCTTGAGTTGACTCCCAGAGTGCGGTCCGGGGGGCACTTTCCCGAAGCTAAGCAGGGCCAGGTCTGGTCAGTGCCTGGATGGGAGGCTTGCCTGACAATGACATTGCTAGGTACTTAAAGAACGGCACATAGGTCAAATTTGCATAAAATCTACATATGTTGAGCTTTGTGTACAGAAGTCCCAGGTTCAATCCCCAGCATCTCCAGGTCCAGCTGGGAGATCCCCTGCCAGTCAGTGTAGACCAGGCTTCCTCAAACTTGGCCCTCCAGATGCTTTTGGCCTACAACTCCCATGATCCCTAACTAGCAGGGCCAGTGGTCAGGGATGATGGGAATTGTAGTCTCAAAACATCTGGAGGGCCGAGGTTGAGGAAGCCTGGTGTAGACAATACTGAGCTAGATGACCCAAGGGTCACCTGGCAGCAGCCGTTCCATCAGGTGGCAGGAGAGGAGCGGAAAGAAGGGCCAGGGCTGTCCGACCAGCCTTGTTGGGCATGTCCTTCCATGGCATTTTTCTGGCCCAGCTGCCCATTAGAAGAATTCATTGAACTTGGGCAAAAAAAATGAGAGGCACAAATACAAGATGTGTGACACCTGGCTTGAGAGCAGTACATGTGAAAAGGATCTAGGAGTCTTGGTTGACCACAAACTTGACATGAGCCAACAGTGTGACGCGGCAGCTAAAAAAGCCAATGCAATTCTGGGCTGCATCAATAGGAGTATAGCATCTAGATCAAGGGAAGTAATAGTGCCACTGTATTCTGCTCTGGTCAGACCTCACCTGGAGTACTGTGTCCAGTTCTGGGTACCACAGTTCAAGAAGGACACTGACAAACTGGAACGTGTCCAGAGGAGGGCAACCAAAATGGTCAAAGGCCTGGAAACGATGCCTTATGAGGAACGGCTAAGGGAGCTGGGCATGTTTAGCCTGGAGAAGAGGAGGTTAAGGGGTGATATGATAGCCATGTTCAAATATATAAAAGGATGTCATATAGAGGAGAGAGAAAGGTTGTTTTCTGCTGCTCCAGAGAAGCGGACACGGAGCAATGGATCCAAACTACAAGAAAGAAGATTCCACCTAAACATTAGGAAGAACTTCCTTCTTTTTTTTTAATAAATATTTTATTGCATTTTTTAAGAAAGAAAAGAAAATCACATAAAATTCCATAACAAACAGCGAAAACATGGCTAGACAAAGATATAGAATCTATAATATAACAAGAAGAAAAGAAAAAATCGCATCCTTTCATACGTTATTTCCATAGCCCTCTGGACTTCCTCACGTCTCCCTTTCCTGCGTTCTCCGTAGAAAAGTTATGTTCCGCAATTTATTACCTTGTTTCAGATCTTATGTTCTAATTCTGATATGTTATGCCTCTAGTTTTAAGTGTTTCCATCAGATATTTAACTGCTTAGTTTAGGCATAACGTTACTTCAAATCTCATCTTTATAGTTCAACTTATTCTCATACATTTCTCATCTAGGCTACTGATGCCATATTCTTTCCTTTCATGCACTTTCTTAACATTCATACAGTTTATAAAGTTTTTGTAAATAGTCTTTAAACTTCTTCCAGTCCTCTTCCACCTCCTCTTTTCCCAGGTCCCGAATTCTGCCAGTCATCTCGGCCAGCTCCATGTAGTCTATCAGTTGCGTTTGCCATTCTTCCAGTAACATTAGGAAGAACTTCCTGACAGTAAGAGCTGTTCGACAGTGGAATTTGCTGGCAAGGAGCGTGGTGGAGTCTCCTTCTTTGGAGGTCTTTAAGCAGAGGCTTGACAACCATATGTCAGGAGTGCTCTGATGGTGTTTCCTGCTTGGCAGGGGGTTGGACTCGATGGCCCTTGTGGTCTATTCCAACTCTATGATTCTATGATTCATAAATAAGCACGTCTACCTGAGTTTGCTGATTTCCTCCTTCCTCCTGTTCCATTTTCTTTTTGTTCCATGTCTTTATAGATTATAAGGCTCTGGGAATCAGGATGGGCTGTAACTCAGTGGCAGAGCATCTGCTTTGCATACAGAAGGTCCCAAGTTCAAATCTTGGTATCTCCAGGCAGGGCTGGGAGAGAAGGACCCCCGTCTGAAACACAGAGGAGCTGCTGCCAGTCAGTGCAGACAGTAGACGGACCAAGGGACTGACTCTGTAGATGGCTGCTTGCTTTGCTAATCCTTTCTTTGCCGTATGGCAGAATAATTAAAGAAAAAGCACCAAATAGATATTTAAATAATAAAATAATTAAAAAGCAAACAACTCTTCTTCCTTTTCCTCTTTTCTTAGCGGGATGATATGGAGTCCATCCCAGGATATTTGTCCCTTCACCAGACTGCTGACGTCATGACTCTCAAGTGGACCCCAAACCAACTGATGAATGGCTCTGTGGGTGATCTGGACTATGAGAAAAGGTGAGCAGCACAGAGAATAGATTATCCTAATGCATATAACAGGATAAAAAAAGCAGCATAAAAAGAAACTAAAGTAAGCAGCAACATTATAAGCTCAGTCAGTAGAGCATGAGCATCTCAGGGTTGTGGGCTTGAGCCTCATGTTGGGCAAAAGGGGGTGGACTGGATGACCCTCATGGTCCCTTCCAACACTTCAGTTCTATGATTCCATGAAAAAGTATAGTCATGTCACCCACTCCAAAAATTTATCCACGTTGAAAACAATTGATCAGCCTCCCTCAACCTGATGCCTTGCAGATGCTGTGGACAGCAACTCCCATTAGCGCTAGCTGGGGCTGATGGGAGTTGTAGTTGAAAACACCTGGAAGGCACCAGGCTGGGGGAGGCTGCAATGGCTGCGTTTTGACCTGACAGGAGTATTTTGACCTGAAAGGATGTCATATGCTTTGGAGCTTCCTGGCAGATTTAATTAGAGGAGTTTGATACAGATTTCTGTGTAGATCTTGGCAAAAGGAGCCCTACAGGGGAGCCCAAACCATCTGTGGGCACCTGGAGGAAGGAGACTGGACTACACAGGGGTGGGAGGGTGGTGGAGCTTTCTTCGCTTCTTTGACAAATTCATCGCTAGGAGAGAGCTATCGATGGCTCCTGGTCACCATGGCTCTGCTCTGCCTCCACAGTGAGAGGCAGCTGTGCTTCTGAATCCCAGCTGCTCGAAACTGAAGGTGAGGAGACGACTCTAGTGCACAGGTCCTGCACAGACATCTGGTTGGCCCCTGTGAGAACAGGATGCTGGCTGAGATGGGCCCCTGGCCGGATCCAGCAGGCTTTGCTTATCAGCAGCTGTGCTTGTCCAGATTCCTGCTGACTCCTCCTTCCGCTGGGTGGGGCTCCGTATTCTGGCCTCAAGCACGTTGTCCCAGCTGCTGCATTTCCCCAAAGGTCAAGGGGGAAACGCCTGCTTTCCTGTGTTTGCTTTTGCAAGGCTTCAGGGAGCATGGCTGCACTTTTTAAGCTTGGGCAAAGAGAAGTGAAAGGCAAATGAAACCCCAAAAGGTTCAGTCACCGCCTTTTGAAGAAGGATCTGAAGGGTCGGAGCTTGTCCTGCCCACTCAGGCTCCTCCATTTAAAGCACTACAGTGGTACCTCGGGTTAAGTACTTAATTCATTCCGGAGGTCCGTTCTTAACCTGAAACTGTTCTTAACCTGAAGCACCACTTTAGCTAATGGGCCTCCTGCTGCCGCCGCGCTGCTGGAGCACGATTTCTGTTCTTATCCTGAAGCAAAGTTCTTAACCTGAAGCACTATATCTGGGTTAGCCAGAATGTGTAACCTGAAGCGTATGTAACCTGAAGCATATGTAACCCGAGGTACCACTGTACAACTCCACTTGAAGGAATCATGGCGTACCCCCAAAGAATTCTGGGAAGTGTAGTTTGGAAAGGGTGCTGAGAGTTGCAGAGGGACTCCTCTTCCCCTCCCAGAGTTACAATTTTCAGAGTGGCTTAACAGTCAATCCCTTTTCAGCAGAAACAGAAAGAGGAATGTGGGGGTGTCTGTCTCCTAATATCTCTCAGGGGCCTCAACATTTGGAATAATTGTGTGAATGAGGATTCTAACATTTAAGTCACTTAAACGTTTCAATAAAGCCGAAACGCAACAAACAGCAATTCAGGTTTTATGCAGATTTCTATTCACTGTGATTTAACACTCAAGAGCACTTTTCACGGAGCAGAGGAAGAAAGAGCACTCGGATACAGAGCTTTCAAGTGCGAATTATGCCTGGGAAGGGAGGAGGAAAAGGTGAATAAGTCTTTAGTTGTGCTTGTCAAGGGTTAGGAGGAGAGGAGGGCTGCCCAGCGTCAGAGCCAGTGCACCCTCTGCTGGGGTTGAGGCAGAATGGCCGTCACTCTTCATACTGCTTTGTGCCAGTTGTCAGCAGGGATTTTCTGAGCGAAAGCCTGGACCTTCCGCCAAAGCCAAACACACACACACAAAGAGAGAGAGAGAGAGAGAAAGTGCCATCCTTGCTCATGTTGCTTGTCAACCTCCCACCCCACCCCACTCCTACTTCCTGGCCGCCACCCTCCTCCCCATTGGGCAGGTGCTGCCTAGCTAGCCTCTAAGTTTGTCATCACACTTTTTTTCACAGTGCTACCTACTGGTGGTTGCGTGAACTGCAGAGCATGACAACAGCCTTAGATGGTTATGTATACAGTGGTACCTTGGGTTACAGATGCTTCAGGTTACAGATGCTTCAGGTTACAGACTCCGCTAACCCATAAATATTACCTCAGGTTAAGAACTTTGCCTCAGGATGAGAACAGAAATCGCGCAGCTGCAGCGATTAACCTCAGGTTAAGAACAGTTTCAGCGTGCCACCACCACCACCAACAGAAGAGGAGCAAGCTTTGGGGGCAGTTGGGGGGGTACCAAAGTAACCACATGATGGCGCTGCAGGCCCTGAGTTGGAATGTGAATGGACTGAACTCCCCCGAAAAAAGGCAGAGAGTATTCCATTTATTGAAAAAAGAGCATTTGGACTTGATTTGTTTACAAGAAACACACGTGACAAGGCTACACAGGAAGTTACTGAATAATAAAAGATTAGGCCAATAATTTATTTCATCGGATAAAGTCAAAAAAAGAGGAGTGGTCCTTTATGCAAAGGAGAGCCTATCACCAAAATTCATATTTAAAGATGATCAAGGAAGATTTGTTGCAATTGAAATTCAAACGCAAGGAGAAAAATTCTTGATAATAGGTATTTATGCACCAAATGAAGGGAAATCGGAATTTTTTTAAGAAGTTACATGAGACTCTGATGGATTACAATATGATTTTGATGGGAGATATGAACGGTGTGGTGTCTACAAATATGGACAAGGCACAGAGACAGGTAGTCACCAAGGATGGAAGACTACCAAAAACTTTATTTGACATGACTGAAAGTATGGATCTAGTTGATATTTGGAGAACGAAGAACCCCCTGGGAAGAGAGGGAACCTTCTTCTCTGAGGCTAAAATGACATGGACAAGAATTGACCAAATTTGGGTAACGAGAAGACTGGCTCCGAAGACCAATAAAGTGGAAATTTGCCCCAAGACCTGCTCTGATCATAATGCCGTGAAGATGGAAATGAAATTGACGCCAATTGGTTCCTTTAGATGGAGGATGAATGATACTTTGTTTAGGAATGAAGAATTCACTAAGAAGGCCCAAAAAACTTTGAGAGATTATTTCGAGATAAATATGAACACTACTGTGGAAAAAAGAGTAATTTGGGATGCAAGTAAAGCGGTCATGAGAGGATTCTTGATACAACAGAATGCAATTAAGAAGAGAACTCAAAATGAGAAAAAAGATAGAATCCTGGAAAAAATAAAGGAAGGAGAGAAGAAACTGAGGGTGAAACCAAAGTCTCAGGAGATTTTAAAAGAGATAAAGTTATATCAAGTACAATATATGAAAATGATGAATCAGGAAATAGAAAGGAAGATTAAACAGATGAGACAAAAGACATTTGAATCGGCAAATAAGTGCGGAAAACTGTTGGCTTGGCAAATGAAAAAAAGACAGAAACTTAACACTATTCCGAATTTAGAAGTGGAAGGAAAGAACATTCAGAATCCAGTGGAAATTAGAAAGTGCTTCCAGAGGTATTTTAAAAAACTATATACACAGGAGACGCAAAAAGAAATGGACATTGATAAATTTTTGAAAATTAATGGACTACAAAAAAATTCCCAGGAAAATAAGTTAATGTTGAATTATAAAATAACAGAACAGGAAGTAGAAGGGGCCATCCAGAACATGCAATTGGGTAAATCCCCAGGACCGGATGGATTGACTTCAAGATACTACAGATCTTTGAAAGAATGGTTAATACAACCTTTAAAAGAAGTCTGTAATGAAATATTGGAAGGGAAAAAGGCACCAGAGTCGTGGAAAGAAGCATATATTACACTTATACCGAAAACAGAGACTGAAAAGACACAGCTTAAGAACTACCGCCCCATATCACTGCTTAATGTGGATTATAAAATTTTTGCAGACATTTTGGCTAGAAGATTAAAAAAGGTGTTAACAGAAGAAATTCATAAAGATCAAGCGGGTTTTCTCCCGGGCAGACACTTGTCTGATAATACGAGGAATATAATTAATATCTTAGAAAAACTACAAGTGAAGATTAATACTAAAGCAGTTTTGATATTTGTGGACGCGGAGAAAGCCTTTGACAACATTTCTTGGAGTTTTATGAAGAAGAATTTACAGGGGATGGGGGTTGGTCAAGGTTTTGGAAATGGTATAGGTGCAATTTACTTAGAACAGAAGGCTAAATTAATTGTGAATAACGTAGTGACGGAAGAATTTAAGATTGAGAAGGGAACACGACAAGGTTGCCCAATTTCTCCATTGCTTTTTATATTGGTCCTGGAGGTTTTGCTAAATATGATTAGAAAGGACCAATTGGTTAAAGGTATACAAGTGGGAGCCAAACAGTACAAACTGAAAGCATTTGCTGATGATTTGGTATTGACTTTACAGGAGCCAGAATCTAGTACTAAAAGAATACTGGAACTGATTCAAGAATTTGGTCAGGTAGCAGGTTTTAAGTTGAATAAGACGAAAACTATTTTTTTAAAAATGATATTTATTAAAGTTTAACAATTACAAAAAAAAAGAAAAGCAAACAATAAGACGAAAACTTAGGTCTTAGAGAAAAATCTAACTGAGACCGAGAGAGATAAGTTTCAGAAGGAGACAGGATTAACACTGGTTAAAAAAGTGAAATATTTAGGGGTTAATATGACTGCTAAGAACGTGAATTTATTTAAGGATAATTATGAAAAATGTTGGACTGAAGTGAAAAAGGACTTAGAAATATGGTCAAATTTGAAGTTATCGTTGTTAGGTCGAATTGCTGTGATAAAAATGAATGTATTGCCAAGAATGCTGTTTCTGTTTCAAACATTGCAAATTTTGGACAAAATGGACTGTTTCAAGAAGTGGCAGAGAGATATCTCTAGATTTGTCTGGCAGGGCAAGAAGCCTCGTATAAAATTTAATATATTAACTGATGCTAAAGAAAGAGGTGGATTTGCCATGCCAGACCTTAAACTTTATTATGAATCAGCCGCTTTTTGTTGGCTGAGAGAATGGATGCATCTTGAAAATACTGACGTGTTGGATTTGGAAGGTTTTAACAATGTATTTGGTTGGCATGCATATCTGTGGTATGACAAGGTTAAAGCACATAAAGCGTTTAAAAACCATATTGTCAGGAAAGCACAGTTTAATGTCTGGATAAGATACAAAGACCTGTTAGAAAATAAAACCCCGAGATGGCTGTCACCAATGGAAGCAAAGGCTCAGAAAAAACTAAATATGGAAGCCAAATGGCCGAAGTATTGGGAAATTCTGGAGCAAGAGGGAGATAGACTAAAACTGCAGAGCTTTGAGAAATTAAAAAATAGAGTGCGAGACTGGCTCCATTATTATCAAATAATGGAGGCATATAATTTGGACAAAAAATTAGGCTTCCAGGTGGAAAAATCAAAATTGGAAACAGAATTGTTAGACCCCAAAGTTAAGAATCTGTCAAGAATGTATAACTTGCTGTTGAAATGGAATACTCAGGATGAAACGGTGAAATCTGCTATGATTAAATGGGCACAAGATGTTGGACATAACATTATGATGGCTGACTGGGAACAGTTATGGACCACAGGTATGAAGTTTACGGCATGTAATGCCTTAAGAGAGAATTTAATGAAAATGATCTATAGGTGGTACATAACACCAGTCAAGCTTGCAAAAATCTACCATTTGCCTGATAACAAATGTTGGAAATACCTAAGAGATCTACAGCACCTAAGAGATCTACAGCAAACCTTTTTAGAACTAAAATACCCAGCAGATGAAGTTAGACAACAGATCAACAGAGCCAGACTGATACCCAGAGAGAACTTGCTGCAAGACAGACCCAAAAAAGAAAATAACAGAACTCCTCTAGTCATCACATACAGCTCCCAAGTTAAAACAGTACAACGCATCATCAGAGATCTACAACCTCTCCTGGACAATGACAGTTCTCTTTCTCAAGCTCTGGGAGGAAGACCTTTCATTGCCTACAGACAGCCACCCAATCTCAAACAACTCCTAACCCACAATAATACTACAACCAGACTTAACACGGACACTGGCACCAGAGCCTGCAATAAACCCAGATGCCAACTTTGCTGCCACATCCACCCGGACAACACCATTACTGGCCCCAACAACATCACACATACCATCTCGGGACTATTTAATTGCTCATCGTCTAACATTGTGTATGCCATCAAATGCCAACAGTGTCCTTCAGCTCTCTATATTGGACAAACAGGCCAAACCTTACGCCAAAGAATAAACGGACATAAATCTGACATCAAGAATCACAAAACAGAGAAACCAGTAGGAGAACACTTCAATCTCCCAGGACATTCTATACAAGATCTCAAAGTAGCTGTTTTACTACAAAGGAATTTCAGAAATAGACTGGAAAGAGAAGCTGCTGAATTGCAAATCATTACCAAACTTAAAACCATGGAGACACCTGGCCTGAACAAAGGCATTGGATTCTTATCTCACTATAAATGACAAAGCCATTTTCACCTTCTCACCCCTTGCTTTTTCCTGTAAGACCTATTGCCGTCCTTAAGAGTCGTCAACAAGCTCATCACAGCCATCTGCCAATCACCCATTCCCACCCCCCTCTGAGTAATACGCCTCCCCACCTTCTCACTATATAGAAGGATCTGGCAACTTCTGTTTCAGTGTATCTGAAGAAGTGTGCATGCACACGAAAGCTCATACCAAGAACTAACTTAGTTGGTCTTTAAGGTGCTACTGGAAGGAATTTTTTTTGTTTAAATGTTGGAAATGTAAGGAGACTGAAGGTACATTCTTTCACCTTTGGTGGACATGCCCAAGGATTAAGAACTTCTGGGAGATGATTTATAATGAAATGAAAAAGGTATTTAAATATACCTTCCTGAAGAAACCAGAGGCCTTTCTCCTGGGCATGGTCGGCCAATTGGTGCCAAAGAAGGATAGAACTTTTTATATGTATGCTACAACAGCAGCAAGAATACTCATCGCAAAGCACTGGAAGACACAAGATCTACCCACCCGGGAAGAATGGCAGATGAAGCTGATGGACTACATGGAATTGGCGGAAATGACTGGCAGAATCCGAGACCAGGGAGAAGAGTCGGTGGAAGAAGATTGGAAAAAATTTAAAGTATATTTACAGAAACATTGTAAAATTAATGAATGTTAGAAGGATGCTGGAATGAAGTTACATGGTTTTAGCAGAAAGGTTATAAAGAACTAAGTAAAAATGGATTGTTAATGGGCCAAAGTGTAAAATTTAAGGTCAGATTGTGTTAAGGTAAATTATAGAACAAAAATTGAGAAAGATGGAAAGGATTTGCTGAAATAGCTAATTGAATTAGATTACAAAAAAGGGAGGTGTGAGGAGGTCGATGAAACAAGTAAATGAAAGATAAAGATATGGAAATACTGGATGTGTTTTTAAATGTTTTTGTTTTTAAATGCTTTTTTTTCTTAATGTTTTGCTGTATTGTTTTTTTTATTTTACTTTTTATTTTTGATGTATTGTAACTTTATTGTCTCTTTTTTTTCTTTTTTCTGTAACTGTTAAACTTTTAATAAATATCATTTAAAAACAAACAGTTTCAGGTTAAGAGCGGACCTCCAGAATGAATTAAGTTCTTAACCCGAGGTACCACTGTATAAGAAGATATATCTAGATAATGGTCAATGGTGGTGTCTTAACAGGTTTAGAATCATAGAATTGTAGTGTTTGAAGGGACCACGAGGGTCATCTAGTCCAACCCTCTGCAATGCAGGAATCTTTTGCCCAATGTGGTGCTTGAAGCCACAACCCTGAGATTAAGAGTCTCCTGCTCGACAGCCTGAGTTATCCCAGGTTTCCTGCTGAAATGTAATTATGCAGAGTTGCACCAGCCATACTGGTAGCTTAAATGATAGCTTTAGCTGCCAATCAGCAATGCTGCCATCATCTCTACAGGTGAGCTAAATTTTCATAACCAGCTCTTGCAATTTCAGTGGTCCAACAGGTGGGAGCCAGTCTGAAAGATGATGCATCAATTGCATGTTAACTCAGAACTTCAATATTATTCACTAAATTGGTACAAAAACTGGTAGCATAGATGTAGTGAAAATTGCAGCTTCATTTTTTAAAGTGAGAGAACTCACTGTGGAAGGATTCTCTAATATTGTGGAACTTACTGCCACAGAATTTGGGATGGGTCTCTTTTTTTCATTGAGCATTTGCCAGGAGTTTAGTTTTGCTTATTCCCACTCCATTTTCTTCCTGTTAGAGGTGGATGTGGGGCTGACCCTTCAGGGAGTTTTCTGAGGGTGACGCCGATGGGCTTTGTTCTTCCCTCTCACAGCATCTACTGGGACTACGCCATGACCATCCGCCTGGAGGACATTGTCTACCTCCACTGCCACCAGCAAGGTAAGAGAGGGGCTAGTTCCGCTACAGAATCTGCTTTGGTCGCCCTGTCTGGTGGTCAGTCCAGTTTGGGCTCTGGCTCCACCCATGACTGACCTGGAGGGGGAGCAGGAGAGAAGCACCCCATTCTCTGGAAAGAGAGTAGAAGCTTCTCCACATCAAAACCAGAAACCTGTTGTATGTACGAGGGGATTTAAAGGGCGCACGAGGGGTCCATTGTTGACATTAAGCAGAGGTGTGGGTGGCCCTAGGCCATTTGGGGGTGGGGGCAACAAAATGCTTCTGTCTCCCCCTGGAGCCCAGTGGGGTTTCTTTGGACAGAATCTGGTTCTCACCTCTTCCCTCTTTTCCGTCTCTCTCCCCTCACCCGCTTTCTCTTGTCAATAGTAGACAGTGGGGGCACAGTTGTCCTGGTAAGCCAAGACGGCATCCAGCGCCCACCACTGCGATTCCCGAAAGGTGGGCACCTCCTGCAGTTCCTCTCCTGCCTAGAAAATGGGCTCCTGCCCCATGGCCAGCTGGACCCCCCTCTGTGGTCACAGAGGGGGAAGGTAAGGCTGGCTGCAGCCTGGGGGGGTGAGGGTGGCCTCTCATGGGTTGGCCTCTCACAGCTCCGGACTGGTAATCTCCACTCAAAAATGACTTTGTAGAGCTGGAAAAGGACACTGAGGTGATCAAGGGGGGTGGAGAACCCTCCTACAAGGAAAGGCTGCAGGGCTTTGGACATTATAGTTTAGAGAAAAGGCAAATCATGGCTTATCCACACCCTTTTGCCCTGATCTTTGCAGCCACAGTCCACACTTAAAAGCTCCATGTCCAAACATTTCTTCTTCTTTCTTTGGCTCCAAGCTGTCCCCACAAAAACCCATTCTTTAAAGCTCAATCAGAGCAAACGTCATTTTGGGTTTTCTGCCGAATGACATTTGCTCTGATTGAGCTTCAAAGAATGGGGTTTTGTGGGAAAAGCTCTGAGCAAAAAAAGCACAACCCCAACCCCTGCTCAGACCTGGAGCTTTTAAGTGCAGTCTGTGCCTGGAGACAGTGGAGGAAGGCAAATGTGCATAAGGCCTAAGAGGAAACCTGATGGAAGTTTATGAAGTCATGCATGGCATGGAGAAAGTGGAGAGGAAAATGTTTTTCTCCTTCTGTCATTACATTAGAACTCATGGGCATCCAATGAAGTTGAAGATTTTAAGGTATATAGACAACAGAAAGGCCTTCTTCACATAGTAAAACTCTGGAACTCCCTCCCACAGGAGGCAGTAATGGCCTCCAACTGAGATGGCTTTAAAAGAGGACTAGACAAATTCATAGAGGACGAGGGGCCTATCGATGGCTACTGGCTACGATGGCTGCACTCTGCCTACAAGGTCAGAGGCAGCAGTGCTTCTGAATGCCAGTTGCTGGAAACCACTGGAAGGGAGAGGGCTCTTGCGTTTGATTCCTGCTTGTGGGCTTGGCAGAAGAGGCATCTGGTTGGCCACTCTCAGGACAGGATGCTGGACCAGATGGGCCTCACTGGATGGATCCAGCAGGCTCTTCTGATGTTCTTATGAACTGTTCATGGGCTCTGGAAGTGGCTGGTGCAAGAAGGGTTTTGTGGGTCTTCTGTTCTTCTGCTGTGCTTTTAGAGGGGTTGAGCCCTCAGGAGCCCATCGAGGGCGCCTGCTGGAGCTCAAGGTCTGTCAAAGAGCTCCTGCTTTGCAAGGGGAAGCCCCTCGGCTCAGGCCCCAGTGGCATCTCCAGGGAGGGCTGAGCAGGAGGCTCTGGGTGTATTCTATCTGGAGTCTTATCGTGTGATTCTAATCCTGCATATAGGTTTTTAAAAATATTAATATTCTTCTGAATATCAGTACTGTAGCTAGAAATCACAGGAGGAGAAGGTGATCTTGTGCATGGGTCCTGCTTGTGGGTTTCCCATTGGAGCATCTGGTTGGCCACTGTGAGAACAGGATTCTGGACTGGACAAGCACTGGCCTGATCCAGAGGCTCTTCTGATGTTCTTTCCGGAATGAACCCTTGTCGTGAAATATTGTTTTAATCAAATTTAAAAACTGAACGAAGAAAATCAGACTTGAAAAGCAACGAGGGAAAGCTGTGCTAGGGAGGGATACCTCTGCGATAAGGGGAGACTGTTCTCACCCCCACCCCTTCTCCCCCATGGAAATGTGAGCTTGGCCTTAGGCATTCAGGAAGTTGTGTTAGATTGAGTCAAATAGTAGATCCATCAAGTTTCGTATTGGTTTCACAGACTGGCAGTGGTTCTCCACAGTTTCAGAGGGGATAGTTCCTCACATTGGATTGGAATGCTATGGAAGTCTGAGCCTGGGACTGAGCCTGCTCTGGCATTGGCTTGGTCGTTGTTCTGCACTAAATGAGGCAGCCACATTTCTGAAGATCTTTGTTTCCTCCAAGTCTGGTCCTGACTGAAAGGATGCTGGAATCAACAAGGCAGACCCACATGACCTGAAGGTGCTGCTGTGCAATGCCCGGTCAATGATCCACAAGACCACCGCCATGCATGACTTGATTGTGGATGGAGAAATGAGGTTGGATGAGGCAGATGGGTGTGTTCTTGCCACTGCTTGTCCACCAGGTTTCTCTTACGCACAGCAGCCCAGGTTATTTGGGTGGGAAAGGGGGGGTTGGTTGCAGTGATCTTTAGAAAGTCATTAGCCTGCACCAGGCGTCCTATTGGGACGCCAGTTTTCTGAGTGCATGTTCTGGAGCTTGGGCAATAGAGGCAGTGCAGGATTCCTATTACTGTACTAACTTCCCTACTGCATCAAGGATTCCCTGCCTGAGCTGCTTCAGGTTGTGGTGGATGTTCTCCTGAAGAAACCTAGTTTGGTTGTCCTAGGGGATTTTAACACCCATGCTCACACAACCTTACAAGGAACCGCTTGGGACTTTGTGGAACACATGGCCTCCATGGGGCTGTCCCTGAATAAGTCTGGCCCAACTCATAGTCACGGACATGCCTTAGACCTGGTGTTCACCTCCATGGACGGGGGTAATCTGACAATTACCATATTTTTCGCTCTATAACACGCACCAGACCATAACACGCACGTAGTTTTTAGAGGAGGAAAACAAGAAAAAAATATTCTAAACAAAACAGTGGATGTATGATTTTTGTGGTTCATGCTGTGGCCACAGACATGTGATCTGACGGTGAGTTTGGGGTAGCCCAATGCAAAAATCCTGAGGATCCATGTGGATCCATGCTAAAGTCGCCCTAAAGTCGCAGGGGCGCTGGGGGAGTGAACAGGAAGCAGGAGGAGGAGAACAATCCCTCTCACACACAGACACACAGACACACACACAGAGTATCAATCCTAAAGTCGCAGGAGAGCGCAGGGGCGCTGGGAGTGGGAAGCAAGAGAAGGAGAACGATCCCCCCCCCTCTCTCTCTCTCTCACACACACAGAGTATTAATCCTAAAGTCGCAGGAGAGCGCAGGGGCGCTGGGAGTGGGAAGCAAGAGAAGGAGAACGATCCCCCCCCTCTCTCTCTCTCTCTCACACACACACACACACAGTATCAATCCTAAAGTCGCAGGAGAGGCAGGGGCGCTGGGAGTGGGAAGCAAGAGAAGGAGAACGATCCCCCCCCTCTCTCTCTCTCACACACACACACAGTATCAATCCTAAAGTCGCAGGAGAGGCAGGGGCGCTGGGAGTGGGAAGCAAGAGAAGGAGAACGATCCCCCCTCTCTCTCTCTCACACACACACACACACACACACACACACACACACAGTATCAATCCTAAAGTCGCAGGAGAGGCAGGGGCGCTGGGAGTGGGAAGCAAGAGAAGGAGAACGATCCCCCCCTCTCTCTCACTCACACACACACACACAGTATCAATCCTAAAGTCGCAGGAGAGCGCAGGGGCGCTGGGAGAGTGAAGGGGAAGCAAGAGGAGAACGATGCCTCACACACACACAGACACACACACACACACAGAGTATCAATCCTAAAGTCGCAGGAGAGGCAGGGGCGCTGGGAGTGGGAAGCAAGAGAAGGAGAACGATCCCCCCCCCTCTCTCTCTCACACACACAGTATCAATCCTAAAGTCGCAGGAGAGCGCAGGGGCGCTGGGAGAGTGAAGGGGAAGCAAGAGGAGAACGATGCCTCACACACACACAGACACAGACACACACACACAGAGTATCAATCCTAAAGTCGCAGGGGCGCTGGAAGTAGCAGGGGCGCTGGGAGAGTGAAGGGGAAGCAAGAGAAGGAGAACGATGCCTCACACACAGAGAGACACACAGAGTATCACTCCTAAAGTCGCAGGAGAGCGCTGGGGCGCTGTGAGAGTGAACAGGAAGGAGGAGGAGGAGAACGATAGCTCAAGCACACACACACACACACACACACACACACACAGCCCCTACAGTGGCTGATCCAAAATCGGACAGCAAAAAACTGCAGGCAGGGACAGAGAGCACGGGGTTGTTTTAAAGCAACCAACCCCGCTCTGCTTCTCTCCCTCCTCCCGGCTAGACTGGCTGAAAAGCTTTGCTGCTACTTAGCAGCTCAGTGGAGAAGAGAGAGGGACATAGAGGACGGGGTTGTTTTAAAGCAACCAACCCCGCTCTGCTTCTCTCCCTCCTCCCCGGCTCGGCTCGCTGACAGGAGCCGCTTACACCCGCTTTGCGGTTTCAAAGAGAGCCACGGACTGCTCACAACTGCAGCGGATTCCCCTGCCATCTGTAGGCATTCGCTCCATAACACGCACAGACATTTCCCCTTACTTTCCAGGAGGAAAAAACTGCGTGTTATAGAGCGAAAAATACGGTAAGTAAAACTGAAACAAAAGAAGTGCCATGGTCAGATCACTTCCTGGTGCAACTGGACTTCTCTGCGACCCTTCCCCTCTGCAGGGAGGTGGGACCGATTCAGATGGTCTGCCCCCACCACTTAATGAATCCAAATGGTTTCCAGAGAGTGGTAGGGGATGTTTTATCCCATCTTGATGGCCTTTCAGCTGATTCCTTGGTGGCCCGCTGGAATGTGGCAGGGCTATCGACTGTCTGGATCCGAAGCGCCCTCTCCGATTGCATGGAGCCTGGACAACCCCCTGGTTTTCCCCGGAGCTGAGGGTGATGAAACAATCGCTGAGATGGCTAGAACACCAGTGGCAGAAAACTCATTCTGAATCTGACTAGACACGGGTTACAGCTCAACGTCAAGCCTACCAAGTGGCGATAGCAATGGCGAAGAGAACCTTCTTCACCACCTCTATTGCATCTGCAGAAAACAGCAGCAGGAGACTCTTTCAGGTGGTTCACAATCTAATGGAACCACCTTCACCATTGGGGCCTGGTGACAACCCCAATATCTTCTGCAATGATTTTGCAAAGTCTTTTGCAGATTAAAGCCACTCAGACGCCACCGTGGGAGCAGGGCCAGGGCGGGAGAGTGCTAGAGTCCTGTCTAGACAAGTTGCATAGGATCAGTTCCAATCTGTTACCTCTGAGGATGTGGACAGGCTGCTTGGACAAGTGAAACTGACCAAAACATCCTGTCGCACTGGTCAAGGATCTCCAGTGTGCCGGGGATTGAGGTGATAGCTGTTTCCTAGTTCTGCTGGATCTCTCAGTGGCTTTGATACCATCGAACCATGACATCCTTCTGGACCAGGGAGCTGGGGGCACTGTCATACAGTGGTCCCACTCCTGGGTTGTGTCCAGAAAGTGGTGTTGGGGGATGAGTGTTCAGACCCCTGGGCTCTCACTTGTGGGGTGCCTCAGGGTTCTGTTCTCTCTCCCATGCTCATATAGAAGCCACTGGGAGAGATCATCAGGGGGGTTGGGTTGAGTGTTCATCAGTATGCGGATGATACCCAGCTCTATCTCTCTTTTCATTCAGAACCAATGAAGGCAGTGAAGGTCCTGTGTGAGTGTCTGGAGGCAGTTGGAGGATGGATGGCGGCTAATGGATTGAGGTTGAATCCTGACAAGACAGAAGTACTGTTTTTAGGGAACTGGCAGGTGTGGGGGACTTCCCGATCCTGAATGGGGTAACTGTGCCCCTGAAGGACCAGGTGTGCAGCCTGGGAGTCATTTTGGACTCGCAGCTGTCCATGGAGGCGCAGGTCAATTCTGTGTCCATTGCAGCTGTTTACCAGCTTCATCTAGTACGCAGGCTGAGACCCTACCTGCCCACAGACTGTCTTGCCATAGTGGTGCATGCTCTAGTTATCTCCCGCTTTGACTACTGCAATGCACTCTATGTGGGGCTACCTTTGAAGGGACCTGGAAATTACAACTAATCCAGAATGCGGCAGCTAGACTGGTGACTGGGAGTGGCACCGAGACCATATAAAGCAGGCTTCTTCAACCTTGGCCCTCCAAATGTTTTGAGACTACAATTCCCATCATCCCTAGCTAGGTATCATGGGAGTTGCAGGCCAAAAACATCTGGAGGGCTGAGGTTGAGGAAGCCTGATATAAAGGACCTTCATTGGCTCCCAGTGCGTTTCTGAGCACAGTTCAAAGTGTTGGTACTGACCTTTAAAGCTCTAAACTGCCTCAGCCCTACATACCTGAAGGAGCTTTTTCGTTCCCATCGTTCAGCCCGGACACTGAGATCCTCCTCCAAGGGTCTTCCGCTGGTTCCCTCACTGTGAGAAGCGAGGTTACAGGGAACCAGGCACAGGGCCTTCTCAGTAGTGGCACCTTCCCTGTGGAACACCCTCCCTTCAGATGTCAAGGAAATAAACAACTATCTGACTTTGAGAAGAAATCTGAAGGCAACCCTATTCAGGGAAGTTTAGTATGTTCTGATATATGCTGTGAGCCGCCCAGAGTGGCTGGGGAAACCCAGCCAGATGGGTGGGGTATAAATAATAAAATTATTATTATTAATAATAATTTTGTTTGACTCCTCAAAGGGGAAGGTGTTTCCAAAGCTGAAGAAGCGAAGCCCCCAGGGGTCCTCGGAGTCGGCATCAGACAAGGAGGAGGAGGAGGCAACCGATTACGTTTTCCGGATCCTCTATCCTGGCCTTCAGTCAGAGTTTGGTAAGGTTGCTCGCCTGGTAGAAACTGAGAAAGCTGACATAGTTATGTAAATTAGATTTTTTTTCCACTTTAGGGTAACTTTTAATTTTGCTACATGTTATAAACATATAGGAGTGTATTCCATTCATATTTCATAAGCTATATTTATTATGCCATTGTAGCCTGCCTTCCATGCCCTGAGGAATACCAAGGAATGCTCAGAGGTGTGCATGATCCAGTTTGGATATATTAAAATTCTGCACCAAGGAATGTTCATGTCCACCACCAGTATAAATTATGGAAATTTGCTTACTTTGTGTCAGGCATGGAGAGTCCTCCCCTCCCTTCGGTGACTTCACAGATAAGAATTAATGAGCAGCTGATAGATCTATAGTCCTTTTATTACAGCATCATGTGGAGGGCACAAATACACAGCTCTCCACAAGGAAGGCAGTTGGCTAGTCTAATCCTCTTTCCGGCTTCCACAGCATTTTGGGCGCCAACGGGAAGTTCCTCCCTCTGACTCCTTTGTTCCCTGATACGTTTGGACCTCCAAGTCCGAGGGGAGGTCCCTCACGCTTTCAAGTGATGAGACAACTAGCTGCCCCCTCCCTTCTGGTTCTGTCGTCATTATCTCGTAACTGAGTAACTCCCCCAAGCTGTTCAGCTTCTGCCTTTTTTTTAAAAAAAATAATTTTTATTAATTTTCCAAACATGTAGTGAAAACAAACAATAAAACAAAACAAAACATACAAACAAATAAACATGTATAATTTCATAAACTCATTTTCCTTCACCTTATTTCCCGGACTTCCCCATACCTCCCTTTTTCTGCATCCTTATTTTTCCCTTTTGACAGCAACCCTCCATTTAATTGATTAACTCATCTTCATTATAATTCCCTTAAATTTATGATATACAGCTGCAATTCTCTGTTTCTTAACACCATAGCATCTCAACACTCCTCAATGTTACAACAGTTTTTAAGGTATATTTTAAATTTCTTCCAATCTTCTTCCACTGTCTCACTCCCCTGGTCACGGATTCTGCCGGTCATCTCTGCCATTCCCATGTAGTCGATCACCTTCGCTTGCCATTCTTCCAGAGTGGGTAGCTGCTGCGTCTTCCAATACTTTGCCAGAAGAATTCTTGCTGCTGTGGTAGCATACATGAAAAAAGTTCTGTCCTTCCTTGGCACCAATTGGCCCACCATGCCCAGGAGAAAAGCCTCTGGTTTTTTAGGAAATGTCCATTTAAGGACCTTTTTAATTTCATTGTAGATCATTTCCCAGTAGGCTTTAATCTTCGGGCAGGTCCACCAAAGGTGATAGAAAGTTCCTTCAGTCTCATTACATTTCCAACATTTATTATTGGGCAAATGGTAAATTTTTGCAAGTTTGACTGGGGTCATATACCACCTATAGATCATTTTCATTATGTTTTCTCTCAAAGCATTACAAGCCGTAAATCTAACACCAGTATTCCATAACCTTTCCCAGTCATCAAACATAATGTCATGACCTATGTCTTGTGCCCATTTGATCATAGCTGATTTTACTGTTTCATCTTGTGTATTCCATTTCAGCAGCAAATTGTACATTCTTGACAAGTTCTTAGTATTGGGTTCTAACAATTCTGTTTCTAATTTCGACCTCTCCATCTGAAAACCTATTTTCCTGTCCTGTTTAAATACCTCGTTTATCTGAAGGTAGTGCAACCAATCTCGTACTTTAGACTTTAATTTGTCATAACTCTGTAATTTGACCCTTTCACCATCTTGCTCTAAGATTTCACAATATTTTGGCCATTTGGACTCCATATTAAGTTTTTTTGTCTCTTTAGCTTCCATTGGTGATAGCCACCTGGGAGTTTTACTTTCCAGTAGATCTTTATATCTTATCCAAACATTGTATAGTGCTTTCCTGACAATATGGTTTTTAAAACCTTTATGTATTTTTACCTTGTCATACCATATATATGCATGCCAACCAAATCTATTGTCGTACCCTTCCAGATCCAAAATGTCTGTGTTCTCAAGAAGCAGCCATTGTTTCAGCCAGCAGAACGCTGCCGATTCATAATAAAGTCTCAGGTCCGGCAGGGCAAACCCCCCTCTGTCTTTTGCATCAGTTAAGATCTTAAAGTTTATTCTGGGCTTTTTGCCCTGCCAGACAAATTTTGATATGTCTTTTTGCCACCTCTTGAAACAGTCCATTTTGTCCAGGATCTGGAGTGTCTGGAATAAAAACAACATTCTAGGCAATACATTCATCTTGATGACAGCAATTCGGCCTAACAAGGAAAGTCTCAACCTTGACCATATTTCTAGATCTTTCTTCACCTCTGTCCAACATTTGTCATAGTTGTCTTTAAATAAATTCACATTTTTAGAAGTCAGATTCACACCCAGGTACTTCACCTTTTTTGTTATTACTAAACCTGTTTCACTCTGAAACTTCTCTTTTTCTGCCATTGTTAGATTTTTCTCCAACACTTTAGTTTTTTGCTTGTTCAGTTTAAATCCTGCTACTTGACCAAATATCTCAATTAGTTCTAATACTCTTTTAGTACTAGTATCTGGCTGTTGCAAAGTCAATACAAGGTCATCTGCGAATGCCCTTAGTTTGTAATTTCTGGCTCCGACCTGAACTCCTTTAACCAATTGGTCCCCTCTAATCATGTTTAACAAGACCTCCAGGACTGTTATAAAAAGTAAAGGGGATATTGGGCACCCCTGTCGTGTGCCTTTTTCTATAGGTATTTCTTCCGTAACCACATTGTTCACAATCAACTTTGCTTTTTGCTTAGAATATATAGCACCTATACCGTTTTCAAAACCTTGGCCTACCCCCATCCCTTGGAGATTCTTCTTCATAAAGGTCCAACAAATATTATCAAAGGCTTTCTCCGCATCCACAAAAATCAAGACCGCCTTTCTATTAATGTTCACTTCCAACAGTTCCAAAATGTCTATAATGTTCCTCACATTGTCCGACATATGTCTCCCTGGGAGAAAGCCTGTTTGGTCCTTGTGAATCTCCCCTATCAGCACTCTCTTCAGTCTTTTTGCTAAAATGTCTGCAAAGATTTTATAATCCACATTAAGTAATGATATAGGGCGGTAGTTTTTGACCTGGTTCTTTTCAGTCTCTGTTTTCGGTATAAGTGAAATAAAAGCTTCTTTCCACGATTCAGGTGCCTTTTTCCCTTCCAAAATTTCATTACAGACCTCCTTCAATGGTTGTATTATCCATTCCTTCAATGCCTTGTAGTATCTAGCCGTTAAGCCATCTGGTCCTGGAGATTTTCCCAACTGCATATTCTGAATGGCACCCTCTATTTCTTGTCCTGTTATTTTCTCATTCAAAATCATTTTACTTTGATCTGAGATCTTTGGTAGTCCATACTTCTTAATAAATTCTTCTATTTCCTGCTCATCAACTGGCCCTTGTGCATATAGTTTCCTAAAGAAACTTTGAAAGCAATTGCTTATCTCATTTGGTTTGTGGATAATTTTTCCATCCATTTCCAAACTTGTCACAGTGTTCAGTTTTTGTCTCTTTTTCAATTGCCATGACAGAAGTTTCCCACATTTGTCTGCCGATTCAAATGTTCTTTGTCTCATTTGCTTTATTTTCCATTCTATCTCTTGATTCATCAATTCCATATATTGCGTCTGGTAATACTTTATTTCTCTCAAAATCTCATGAGACTTTGGTTTAGACCTCAATTTCTTTTCACCTTCTTTTATCTTTTCCAAAAGTTTTTCTTTCCTCTCATTCTGCTTTTTCCTCTTTATGGAATTTTGTTGTATTAGGAAACCTCGCATCACGGCCTTACTTGCGTCCCATATTATTCTTTTCTCCACATCTGTTCTCAAATTTATCTCAAAATAGTCTTTCAAAGTTTTTTGGGCCTTCTTATAGATCTCTTCATCTCTGAATAGGGCGTCATTCATCCTCCATCTGAAAGTTCCAGTTGTTGTTAATTTCATCTCCATCTTCACAGCATTATGGTCGGAGCAAGTCTTTGGGCAGATTTCTACTTTTTTTATCTTTGGCGCCATGCTACTAGTTACCCAAATTTGGTCGATCCTTGTCCATGTCATTTTTGCTTCAGAGAAAAAAGTTCCCTCTCTCTCCAGAGGGTTCTTTACTCTCCAAATGTCAATCAAGTCCAGTGTTTCAGTCATTTCGAAAAAAGTCTTTGGTAGTCTTCCATCCTTAGAAATTATTTGTCTCTGTGCCTTGTCCATATTAGTGGAGACAACGCCATTCATGTCTCCCATCATTATAATTTTAAAGTCCAAATAATCCATTAAAGTCTCATGCAACTTCTTGAAAAATTCCGCCTTCCCTTCATTTGGTGCATATATTCCCAATATCATAATTTTTTCTCCTTGAACTTGTATTTCTATTGCCAGATATCTTCCTTGTTCATCTTTAAATATCATTTTAGGGGCCAATTTTTCCTTTGCATAAATCACGACGCCTCTTTTTTTGACCTTGTCTGATGAGATAAATTCTTGTCCAAGTCTCTTGTTTACAAGTAATTTCCTGTGTATCCTGGTCACATGCGTTTCCTGTAGACATATTAAATCCAATTGCTCTCTCTTCAAAATATGAAAAACTTGGCGTCTTTTTCTGGGAAGGTTCAAACCATTACAATTCCAGCTAAGAAGTTGCAGAGACATTGTACTGCTATGTGCCTATTCCTCCAACTGCTCCAAGTTTTTGTTCCTCCTCCGATGGTGGTAGTAGTCCAAATGAAAGATTTGCAATATCTGTCGATTCTTTGTCTCCTGTTGTTTCTATTACTCCTTTCTGCAGACCCTCCTGGTATCTTTCCAAAAACAGTTCTTTATCTTGGACTGTTTTTATTTTAATCTTCTTTCCTGTGTAGTTAAAAGATAATCCTTGTGGGAACTCCCACCTGAAAAGTATGTTATTCTTCTTCAACAGGTAAACCAAGTCTTTGTAAAAGGCCCTCACCTCCAAGATATATTTAGGGATGTCTTTAAA